TCCTAATGCCTAAACCTTGTGAGCCCAAGAAGAAAACCTTCATACCCAGAGTACACTTTAGATATCTTTGGTTCTCTGAACTGCTGCGGCAATCATTGTTGAGCTGGGAGCGAGCATGGCATATGTAGAAAAGAAACCAACCTCTCCTATGATAACTGATAGAGCATGTAAGCTTCAGTGGACAGGCTTAAGTGACAGTACCCTAAGGTTTGGCTTTAACAATATTTTTAAAAAATGGAAGGTAAAATTGCTATTTGAATGGACCCCAGAACATTAAACACTGGAAGACAAGTCCCTTTTACTGACATGGATGGTATCTTTAAAGTTGAAGCCGTTCTGACCTCCAATACATGAAACTGAATGGCATCTTCTAATGTGGCTACTATTAAGTTACTCAAGTCGTGTGTCCCAGTCTTTAGTAGAGCCCATCAGTTCTTCCTCTTGAGCTCATAACTAGAACTACCACTAGGGAAGTGCTCCCTCTACCTTTGTGATGCAGAGTAATCCAGAAGTACAGAGGCAGCTGGGCCCCTGTAAAGGCAAGCATGTTCAACATCCACATAGTTTCTGGGCCAAGGCTGGACATCTGCTAATTTTGTCTGGTATCTGCTAATAGTTTCTATCAGGTTCTCAACCACAGTTCCCACTGGTAAAATAGTACAGTCTGTGTTTACGTTTGCTCTAGTTCATTTTCTTTTCAGATGACGGGAACCATGACAATAAATTAACCTATCTGTCACAGTCTAGTTTCAGGTCAGAGGGGGGGAAACTTATGGCATTGGTATTTTTGGAATGGAAAAAGGAAGAGATAAACCACTAGTTATTAGATAGGTGTTCTAGATGAAGAAGACAAAAGATATGGGAAAATGTGAATCTACTCTATGTTGTCTTTTCCCCCCATCAGAGAAGTGGGAAAAGAAAATCACTCTGATATTTTTTTTTATCTGCAAGGTATAGAGGGTAATATAAATGACTGCTTTATCAAGAAAACAACCAAGATAAAAGTCCTAACCAAGAAAACTAAGTGTCAAAACTTCAAAGAACCTAGATCCATGTTGGATCAGTCTTGGATGTTCCTTGTCCTGCTGCTGTGTTTGAAAGGAACAGAGGCAGCCAGACGCATTTTCTTTCAGAATGCTCACACAGAATTGCTCCAGCAAGCATTTTCAATGCCAGAGCTGTATCACTTGTGAATCCCACTGCTGGTAATGTGCAAGGGGTGCTTGAAGAAGAACAATTAGACATGAAGGAAGGACTTCTTCCCTTAATGCTGTCTAGATAATGGAAAACTCTTGCTGTCTTTAAGATACTAACTGTGCCAGGAGGGCCAGTAGGGAACACTCCTGCATTGAGCCACCCACCTTACTGCGCTCAACCACCTTCCAGGCTCCAAGTGCCTACCTGGGGGTGCCTCACGTCTGGCCGACCCCCTTCCTGGAGCACACCCACCACCCAGGGATGGACTTGATTCTGGCTCTGTGCACCCTGGGAAACACAGGCCTAGTAGACCTCGAGGGTACTTGATTCACTTCAAGAATTTGGGATGCTTCCCTCAGTTGGAAGCACAAGTAGTGGTCTCCCTTAGTCAGCCGAACCAAGGGAACCCCAAGGCATAATCTAGACCCACTCCCAATGAGTCTCCCACGCTATGTACAAAGGAGAACTTTATTCGTTACAAGGGGTAGGGTTGGAATAGGGTACAGGGTAGAGCAGTATCAGAGAAATCCCATAGAGCAAACTGGCATGGCTAAGTAGCCTTTGATCATGCATCTGAGTTACTGCAAGCTATATATCTAGTTAGATCTCAGGTAGCTCTCTCACAAGTATCATCCAGAGGCAGGTGGAGATTCTTTCTGGAGGCAAGCAGTTCCTTGATCATGAGTTTTGAGAGAGAGAGCAGGTTTCAGATGGTCCAGCTCTTCTCTCTCTCTCTGAGTCTTCCTCATGGCTGCTGCCCCCCTCCTCCTGGGCAGTCCTTTACTTATATAGCCCTTACGACCTCATTTACCTGGTCCAATGGAGGCCAGCACCTGTTGGCTGTCAGCCAACCAATTTGAAATGCATCACTGGTTGCTGGGCAGACTGGCAGTTCCTAGCTCCCCAGGGAGCCCAAGTCCCTCACCCAGGTATGTGATGCCAGTCACATAGGCAGAGGGAGCAGGTTCCCCCCCTCCCTCAGGGGTGTATTCATTTCAGGTTACCTAAAGAGATAGGGTAAGGTGTGTATCCTCTGCTGGGCCCATCCTAACCAAATTGTTACAGAGCAGAGTTTTTGGGGAGAAACAGAGGTGGCCTTGTGCCACACGAACCAAATATAGTATTTTCAAAGACTAACCTATAGATCTCTCTTCAGAATCCTCCTTAAAGCTATGTTTCTTATGACTGGACTCTTCTCTATGCCATAGAGTCCTCTGCAGATTAACTTCAAACTCACAATCATCAACAGGCTCCTCTACTTTATTTATTTGAAAATAACACAAAGTTAAAAGGATTATACTTTAGTTTCAGGTTAGGAAAAAACATTGCATGGATTTTAGTTTTAATTTACAATTTTCAATAGAAGTAGCTCATTCACTATTGTTAGACAAGGCAAGACAGTAACTAGATAACCAGACTTTATTTAAACCAAACCAAACCCTCTGAAAAAGAGCTAAATGAAACTTGTGCCCCTGTTGTTCCAAATTAAGATCTTTCCTTTCTAAACTTTGCTTCTTCCTAAAAAGATACAGCATCAGACCTTGAGTATAAGTCTTTCTTCCTTTCCTAAGTCAGGTTCAATTTCTTTAGCCTTCTCAGTACTCAAGAACTAGATTTACTACAGCATAAAAGGGTAATAATGCCAGAAGTCTTTTATCTCCTGTGGCTTCTACTGCCATTCATTCCAATGACTGAGGCAGGCAGGCCACTTCTCTTATCTTTCTGAACTTCAAGTTACATGTTTTTTGGGGAGGTTTCTCTGATGAGATTGGCAATATGACCTACTCATTTAAATAATCATTGTTTTGTATACGTATTAGTACTACAGAATTCTGAGGTTGATGATATTCTTTGTAATCCTACATTTTAAATGGATAGTCTTACATTCATTTAAAGACACTCTCTAAAGTCCTTTCCCCCCTAAAATTCCTTTTGCTCAAAGTTTTAACAGTGCAGTTATATCATACTATATTTTGGGTCATGTCTTTTGAATGACAATATCAAGTTTATTTGTCTTTTCTTAAACCATAACATTTTCTTCTTAAACAGGGTCCTATTAAACAGTTATGCTCAAAATTCAACCTTGAATTTTGTCACAATGCAGTTTTATAGTCCCTTTTCTCATGGCACATGGATGTTACGCAAACTTTCCTTTCACAGTTTATTTTTGAACCTACTTACAGATGGAGACTAAAAAAAATGAGAATTTCAAGATCTGGTTAAAATTAGAAATATAGAAGCCTGTAACATTTAAGCATAGGTTACTACATGGCAAGTTTTCTCTTTCAGTGGTGTTGGTGGGTTTTACATTTATGTTTATCTATGTATAATCATCTAACAACGTTAATTACAAACAAAATAGCAATTTTCAGATATTCTTAAAAAAATAAATACAAATACATGGACTAAGCTGAAGTGGACATAGAAATGCAAGCATTTAAGCCACCATGTAGAACAGGGGTGGGCAAAATAAGCCTGCAGGGCACCAAGGGATCTTGCCCAGCAGTCAGTGGGTCCCTTGGCCCTGGCAGCCCCAGGCATGGGGGATAGTTTGGGCCATGGTGTATGTGGTTGGTCCCAACACTTCTGTGTTCACAGCAGGGCTGAGGTGGCTGGACTTGTTTCCCAGCAGCCCTGAAAGTGACAGCTTCTTCTGGCTGCCACTGCCAGTCTCTGCTGCTGTTGCCACCAGACCCGACCCTGCTGCCTGAGCACCCTGCCCATCCACCTCACACTCACTGCTGGGGGCGCTAGATGGAGCAGGCAGGCAGGCTCTCCACGGAGACTGGCCGAGGACCTGTGTGGCTGGGATGGGGCTGCGGGTTGGTGGGAACCAGCATCAAGGAGCGAGATGGGTTGGTGGAGCTGAGGCCAGGATTACAAGACGGTGACAGCGCAGGGCTGAGGCCCAGGTTAGAACAATGATTTGGTTCCCACACACCCCTGTTTGTGGAACTGGCAGCTGTCGCAGGAGTGTACAGGGAGTGGATTGTGGCTTTGTCCTGGGCTCTGGTCCTGCGCTGTCACCACCCCACGATCTCAATCCTAATGCCAGCCCCAGCCTTGGCCCCAACCCTGCCTGCCTGTTCCACTCCTAGATGGTGCTCCCCACCTGCCTGCAGACCTATCCCATACACCTGGCCAAGCGCAGGGCAGAGCTACTTAGGGAATTCTGGTGAGCCAGGGAGGGTGGGGTGAGGGTGCTGAACCGGTGCAGCATGGGGTGGGGGCATGCTGACCCGGCTTGGAACAGCTCAGCAAAACTCTAAGCGGCTCTCCAGCTCAAATAATTAGCTACCCCTTATGTAGAAGGTCTTATACAAAATGTTTTGATTTTATCTACTATGAAGTTTCACATGTTGCATATATGTGTGCACACAATTTTGTTTTTCCAAATCCAAGTGTAATAGTTGAAGATGCTTGGCTCCTTTGTCTCCTAAGTATGCGACAAACTGTCTCCATTTCTTTTAATTAATTCTTAGAAGGTGCAAAAGAAGTTGGCAGCTCATTTCAATATAGGTTAATCAAAAGTTACGATGCTTTAAGGTACTCCTGAACTCTAGATAACATAACTATTCTTTTGCCCTATAATAGTCACAGTATCTTTGTAACACTCCTATATATAAATTATTTCCTTTTCATTTCATTTTTCTTAAAATCTCCTCTAAAATGATTACCCTAAATTTAAACGTGTTTCAGTGCCTTGCTTAAAACTCAAAACAACCCATCTGACAATTTCTCAGTTCTCAAACAGCATTTGTAGAAATAACACTGTAAATTGCTTTGGATGATTTGTTACTTACTGTGTTGCAGGTGAGTCTATATCTGTGTCATGTTCTGAGAAAAATTTCAGGTCCCCTGACTGGATGACGACTGCTGACATCTGCAAAAGAAAAAAATATAAGCTGGAAGGCAAAAAGAAGAAACGTACATATGGGCCAACATATGTACGTTGAAAACCCACCAGCTTCCTGAATAAGGAGAGAATATACCCCCTTTGAAAGAGAATGTCTATCAGTCAGAAAATGTTCACTCCTATGTGGTTTAAAACAAGGAAACAGTTCCTGTAAAGACAGCTTTCAGGTGTGTGGCAAAAAATATGTTACAAATCTTTGCCTGAAAAAAATCACTCAGTTCTTAAATAAGCAATTAAAATGAGGAGTCACACATTATAGAGTTTTAACCAGAGCAGTGCAAAACTTGCTTCACTTTACAGAGGTTTGGTAAAGCTAGCCTAAGTTGCTCAAACGGTTTCAGATTCTTTCAGGTTCACTCAAACTCAAAACTGAAAGTCATGGAAAACCTTGCATCATTCTTTAGTTTCTTAAGAATTAGTGAATTCCAGGCCCTTTGCTCCCCCTGGCTAAAAACACCTTCTAGCCTGACTGGACATTCTTCTATTGCAAAAATTCCTTGGACAACTCAGAAGAAAACTAGTGGTCTGCAATGTCCTCCATCAGTTATGCTTTCTTCAAAGACAGGAGTCCATTTTTCTCTCTTCTTCACCTCATAATATTCTGCCTTTTTTGCTGTTGAATTTTGATGCAGGAAGGCACAACTGGTAGGCTTGCTGCTTCATTAAAATCAGGCTTCTAAAATGCAGCCTAGGGCATAGACAGAAAGTGACAACTTTCGCTTGATCTGGCTACAGAAAGCAGTCTATAGACATGACTGAACACAAGTGCAAGGCTGCAGGCTACATAAAAAATGGTCAGTCATGTGAAAATCTGAACCCTCATTGCATGAGTGGCAGAAGATGTTTCAAAACAGCACCTTCAGTAATTTGTCTGTGTTGTCTCCCAGCCTGTTGCTGTTTTCAGAACAGGAACGGGGAAAGGGAGCAGAGGGAGTTTGGTCTGGGGTTTTTTCAGCCCCCACTAGAGGGTGGGATGGGAGTATTAGAGCTCCGCTGGGGAGGGGGGCTCCAATTCAGCCACCCCACCCTTCAGCACTGGTTGGGGGACCCCTAGAATGAACTCCTTTTGCTCTCTTTCCTGCCTCCCATTCTGAAACAGGGAAAGGCTGGGAGAGAGGAGGGGCCATTGTTAAGGTAAACCAGCTGCAGGCTCCCAGCCAGCAGCTAGATTCCCCTCCACCTCTGGAATCAACAGTGAACTTCTGTTTGGTCTGAGGGATTGTTGTAACTCAGAATACTTCCTGAAAAGTGTTCTCAGTTACAGCAGGGAGCTGTACTTCTGTCTTCACCCATATACTAACTACATCCTGTAGCACTTAATGCATTAACTTCAGTGTTGAACTTTAGGACTAAGAAGCTCCACAGTCCCTTTAAGGGTAAGGGTCGACAGTTTACAGCCCACAGAGCCTTTGGATCCAGCCTGAGGAATTGTGCCTTAGGTAGCATTGGGGGGCGGGGTGGGAGCTCACCATGGTTAGCTGCATGAATCTCTGGCAGAGGGGAGCTGTTCCTGTGGTGCGCCACAGTGCAGGGTGTGCAGGGTTCCAGTGGAAGGTAGCAATTTAACTAACTTATATCACTATAGGACAGGGGTAGGCAATTATTTGGGACCAGGGCCACACAGGGTGTCTTGATGAGTTGCGACAGGCTTGGTGAGCACCCCTGGCCACAACAAAAAACTCCCAATGTGGGATGATGGGGTCATGGGCAAGCGAGAAGTGGTCTTTGGGAGTAGGACTGGTGGGGTCACAGGATGGTGATAGTGCAGGGCCTAGGTCAGAGCTGTGACCTGTTCTCTACATGCCCCTGCCCTGTGGGGTGTGTGGGGGGAGTGGTTGTGGGGGGATGTGTGCATGTGTGGTGGGCTTTCTGGGTGCTAGGTCCTGGGAGCTGGCAAGGGGTGAAAGGAGGGAGGAGGGGCAGGGGGTGTGTGCAGCACAAGCGGCTGAGTGGGTGGAAGGCAGCTAGGAGCTTGAGCCCAAGCCCTGTGCACTGAGGAAGGAGTTGCTCGGCTGAAGCTTCCTCGCTGTGGAGAGTGGCACAGCAGGATCAGGAGGAGGAGCAACCACCAGAGGTAAGGGAAGCTAAGCAGCACCCAGACAGCTGCAGCCACACCAGGAGCAGCCCTGCTGGAAGCTGTATGTACTAGCCCAGACTGGGGCCAGCAGGACAGGCTGGAGCACAGTGTGGGCTGCCCTGAGCGGGGCTTGGCTGCAGACTAAATCCAATCAGTTGGCAGACTGAATCCATCCTACAGGCCATATTTTGCCCACACCTCCTATAGAATCATATAGATTTAGCTGTTAGAACAGACAGGCTGATAAATGCTCGCAAGCAGCAGCTCCCCCTTCCCTTTTAAAGAGGCTAAATATATGTTTGTCCATACAATTCTTATATGAAGTACAGAAATCATGCAAACAAGTCTTTGGGTGTGTAACCCTATGTAACAGGGGGCCTGCTCCGGGCCGATCTCTGTGCGGCCCGGCCACCTGTTCTTGGTCTAACCACCTGCTTTCTCATCCGCCACGCCTTGATCTTAATAATTAATTAATAGATGTAATTTAAGTGGGAGGCTGCCCATTTTCTGCCTCGCTGCTAGCGGGTGTTATCTGCGGCTCCATTCCTCCCCTACACAGCAGCCCAAGCCTCGCAGATGACCTCATGTTGTTTTCATACGCCCAGTCCCACATGATGGGTCCCAGAATCCCACTGTAGGACCCCACTTGGGTTCCTCCCTTCAGGCGGACTCTGCCGCCATGCCAGGCCATATATCTCCCTGCCACTCGTTCCCCTTTGGGAGAGGTCCCCTCACTGGGACCTTCCGCTCACACTAGCCCCAGCCCACCCCCAGGCCAGTCGGGACCCCAGGGTCTTGGGCGTCCCTCTCGGTGGGCCTCCTTACCCTCCTGGTCCTGGTCCCAGCCCCCACCTGGGCCAGTCAGGGGAAGCTCTGGCAGGCCTCGCTGTATGACCCATACTCTTTTCCTGGGGTCCCCCTCTCTGGGTCCTCCTTCAGGGATGTGGGGAGCTGGGGTACCTCACACCATGACTGGTGCCTCAGGGTCTCACAGGGGACTCTCACTCCCCCCCGGGCAGCAGGTTGTGGTGCTCCTATGAATGTTATATTTGACCCAAACTCTGCCTCCCAACATTGGAGGACTTACTGGGGTCAGGACTCAGCTCTCTTGCTCTCTGGCTGAGCCCCCCCATTCTTCCCTCACTGGGGGCTCTTCATGCTGCCTCCCTCATCACTGGGGGCTCCTCACACTGGGGGCTCCTCACTGTTCATCATGCCCCCTTTACTCAGGATCTTGGGGCTTCCCTCCTCAGGGGGCTCAGGTGGCTGGAGCCGTGCCTGGCCCCAACTCTACCTCCTCAGGGTCTTGAACCCCCACAGCGCTCAGGCAGCCTCAGCCATACCTGGCCTCCAACTCTTCACTCTCCTCCTCGGGGCTTGCATTTTGCATATTGGTTTAAGCTTCTGTTCCACCCA